TTTTTGCAATCTCATAAAATTATTAAGACTTCACAAGTTGCAATACCTGCTATTTTATGTATATACAGTGAAACAGCATGCACATTGCTTATCATATATACTTACATTATTTTAACCTTTTTAAGGGCATCAGAACTGAGAAGCACAATATGATTTGTCAAAGTCATTTGTGTTAGTTGACCCTGACTTTTAATCAAAACCATCACACAATCAATCTTTAATCTAGAACACAATGCATTCTCTGCATATGTAATTTCCTTTCTCACATGTGCAGATATGCATATGTGCGAGAATCATGATGGCAGCAGTTTCCCAACATCCTGCCAATAAAGCAGCATGCCCCACACACATAGACATATGCACACAAGCCACAGAAGATTCAGAGATGTAACACTAAAAGGCGTCAAGGCATATTCAGACGGGACTATTTTTTCCAAGTTATTTTTGTGTTTCTGCAACATACTTTGAATTAAAGGTATTTTTCTCACAAAACCTCTAACAAGTATGAAACAAATGACTGTTTTTCAGCTAACTCAGACATCCTCTAAGAAGTCTAATCCCATCTGGACAGGAGAAGTGTGTGTGATTGTGGTGTTTATATAGTGATTATGATATTGTCTTATATAAAATGTAATTGTGACACATATTCTGAGCTATTGCTCTTTCCCATTCAAGATGATGACTACTGTACAAATAGCTGCCCAGAAGCATTACCATGTTGGCCAATTTAGCTGACTAAATTGTCTTTAGAGGATTTGGTTAATGGACAATGGACAACTCAAATGTTGATGAGATCTGGCGACCCCACATCAAACTGAAAATGTCATTACGAGAAATGTTGTAACAACCATATAAACAATGGAGTCATAGTAGTCCAAGCGTTAAGCAAGAGTGGCAAACGTTACGTCCAAGTGTCTTTAATATCAAGAAAATCCCTTAACCAATGTTTACAATGTCAACCTGTGTCCAAACAGAATTGATTGTCTTTAAAGTACTGACTTCACAATTTTTTATAGCGCTCAGCAGTGGTTGTATTACAAGCCAACTCCCAGTTTTATTACCACTAATCAGAAAAGACTTACCATTTATGGACAGGACTATTATTGTGTGGTGCCCTTATGATGTCACAGCCTGAAATCCTCTGGGATGGTTCAGCCCATCGGTGTCGTTGTCTGTGTAAACACTGAGATTTTTCCATAAACCATCTCACAGAAACA